GACCCTCTAGGTACAAATTAACCAATATTGAGCATTTTGCCGTTTTAGTATGCATACATTATTTTTATGCAGTATTCTATCACACAGATTTACAGATAGAAAATCTCCCACTGAATGGTAGAGCAGTAATTTGCATTAAGGGGCTCCTTTTGTCCATTCTGATTATCAACAGCACTTCTCTAGTTGAAATCCTGGCTTGCCATGACAGTTACATGTGATGAACAATCTTGTTTTTTTGCTAAGTCTCAGGACATCACACCCCTCATGCATTTTAAATAGCATTTTAGATACCATTGCTCATGTGGAAATTCAGAGAGGATGAAAACAGCCAGACTTGTTTTATTATGATCCCAGTAAGAAAAGCATTCAGGGTCTGTGAAGGAAAAGTTTAAATGCTATTTATTAAAGCTAACAGAAAATAGCATTGAAAGGCAAAGCAGATTTCTCTTTGAATTATGGGGGACAAGTGCATCTTAAAAATACTGGTCCTGCCTAGGCTTACACTGCAGCAGTTACTACAGTCAAAATCTTCCTTTTCTGCCAGAGTAAAGTTGAAGGAAAAGAGTGCTTAATCAGACTTACATTTCTCTCAAATCATATTTCTCATTTGACAGTGCTGCTAAAAACACCTGAGAACCTTCAGCATGAAATTTGTTTTCATATCAAATTTGTCCATCTCTGGTTTTACAGCTTGTCCTTGGCTACTAATTGCTATGCAAATTGAGAGAGTTTGCCATGCTGTGTGCTTGCACCAGCAAGGGACCACATCTCAGCCCAACTCGAGAGAGTTTTCTTCTAGTCACATTGTGCACTTGGCTGCAAGGAGAGAAGCCAATTCTCTGCTAAAACACAGGAACGTGACACAATCTTTTTGACATCTTCTGCATTAGGGGGGTTAAGTACTTCAGAGCATGTTTGTTGGAAAGCCTTCAGCTTGTGTTGCTTGTTGTTGTTATTTCCAGCAGAGGCAGTAGCTCCTATTTGCACAGGAAGGGGGAACAGACCAGGGATGTGCTCCAAGAGGCCAGTTTCTTTACGGATGTTTCCTAGCTACTGTTTCAAGTCATTAAAATCTAAATTGACTTTGTCCCAATTCATGCAGCCTGAAACAAGACACCAAATGTAACACTGATTCACCTTGGATTAAGAATACTTGCAGAGTCTTTTTAATGTGGGAGAGATTTCTATCCTAGCAAGTTAAGCTGTTTGCTTTATGGAGGTTTGTGGAATCACAGTTTAAGCTACTATAATAATTCAGTATAATAAACCTTCTAAGGAAATGTTATTATGGAATGAGAAGGCATTCATGTCTTTGAGTCTTCAGAGACTCTGTGTGAGTCTCTCTGCACCCAGTGCTTGGATGTCATGAGATGCCTTTCAGTATGCACCAGCCTGCTCAGCCATTATATATATATAAAAAAAGAGAAATCTAAGCAAAGAAGTAATTGGACACATTTGTCTGATATGTGTAACTGTTTATGGTTTGTTATTAGCTAAAGAATGGTCAGGACGGTACTTGACATTTTATCCAAAATCTATACCAGCATGGTGCTCCTCTAATTAGAATGTCTCTGAGTCTTCTGTACATGTGTGGGTTGGGTGGCCTGTAGAGAATAAAGTCATCAATGCAATACAGCTCCTCAGTAGTGCACTGTGCCAGTCTAACATTCCTTTAAGTGTTGTTCTGTCTTGCTGTTACGTGTGAGAGATGATAAAACAGAATCATAGAATGCTCTGGGTTGGAAGGGACCTTAAAGATCATCTAGTTCCAACCCCCTGCCATTGCAGGGACACCTTCCACTAGACCAGGTTGTTCAGAGTCTCACCCAGCCTGGCCTTGAAAACACTCAGGGATGGAGCATCCACAGCTTCTCTGCTGACGTGTTCCACTGCCTCACCAGCCTCACAGTGAATAATTTCTTCCTAATATATAATTTAGACCTACTCTCAGTTTTAAGCCATTCGTCCTTGTCCTGTTACTACATGCTCTTATAAATAGTCCCTCTCCATGTTTCTTGTAAGTCTCCATTCAGGTACTGGAAGGGGCTCTAAGGTCTCCCCAGAGCCTTATCTTCTCCATGCTGAACAGCCTCAGTCTGTCTTCATAGGAGAGGTACTCCAGTCCTCTGATCATCTTCATGGCCTCCTCTGCATTCACTCCAACTGTTGCGTGTCCTTCTTTTGTTGGGTGCCCCAGAGCTGGATGCAGAGTTCCAGGTGGGGTCTCATGAGGGCAGAGTAGAGGGGAAGAATCACCTCCCTCGACCTGCTGCCCATGCTCTTTTTGATGCAGCCCAGGACATGGTTGGTTTTCTGGGCTGCCAGTGCACGACTGGCTCATATTGAGCTTCTCACCCCAAGGTCCTTCTCCTCAGCACTGCTCTCAATCCATTATTTGCCCAGCTTGTATATTGTGCTAGTGCATGACCCAGGTGTTGGACCTTGCACTTAGCCCTGTTGAACTCCATGGATTTTGCACAGGCCCACTTCTCAAGCCTGTCAAGATCCTTCTGGATGGCCTGTCCCTGCCCTCCAGTGTGTTGAACACACCACACAACTTGGTGTCATGGGAAAACTTGTAGAGGGTGCACTCAACCCCACCATCCATGTCACCAACAAAGACATTAAATGGAGCTGGACCAATCCCAACCCCTGAGGAATGCCACTTGTCACTAGTCTCCATTTGGACATAGAGCCATCGACCACAACTCTTTGAGTGACACCACTGAGCCAATTTCTTATCCACAAAGTGGTCTACCCATCAAGTCCATGTCTCTCCAGTTTAGAGACAAAGATGTCATGTGGGATAGTGTCAAAAGCTTTGCACAAATGTAGGTTGATGACATCAGTTGCTTTTCCCACATAAGCCACCGCTGTAACCCCATCATAGAAGGTCACCAAATTTATCAGGCATGGTTTTCCTTTATTCACCAATCACCTCTTTCTCTCTCCTGTGCTTTAGCATAGTTTCCAGAAGGATCTGCTCCATGGTCTTGACAGGCAGAGAGGTGAGACTGACCAGCCTGTAGGTCATTCATTCTTCCTTTCTTCCCTTTTCAACAATTGGGGTTATATTTCCCCTTTTCAAGTCAGTGGGAACTTCACCAGACCCATGGACTTGTGCACTTTTAGGTTCCTTGGATGGTTGTGAACATGATCTCCCACAGCAGACAGTTCTACATTCTCCCACTTCCTGCCTTTGCCTTCTGCAACTTGGGTGGTGTGGCTGTAGTCATTAGTCAATTCAGACACGGTGGGGAAGTGTCTTTCCTAGGGCAGGCACACCTAGAATGTCTCAGGGGCAAAGCACATGGGATGTGGGAATTCAGGCTCCTAACTTTGAGAGCTATGAGTCATCTAGCTTCTGTGTTACTATTTGATCTTGTGAAGTGTCTAGAATTGAGTTGTTTCAATTTTCACTCCCCTGTATCTAGAGTAGAGCTTTTCTTAGCAGCTCAGGTTTCAAACAGCTGTATTAAGAACTGACAAATATTAACTCTTGGTTTTGTATAGTTTGTGTGACTAAATTGGGAAAAGAACAATAACAAAAAGTAAAGTCAATTACAGTGTCTTGAAGGTTCCCAGGCTTGGTCTGTGTTGATCTCATTTTAACTTGTTTATTTACATGGGCTGCAGGCAATTCAAAAAGTGTCTGGAATATCAGAACAATAAGTGTAAACTACTGGGATTTAACTTTTCTTAACTTGTAGTGATGGCTCCACAACACTTCTCATATTTTTATTTTCTTGTCAATATATAAAATAACTCCTTCCTTCTTTCCCTCTAGTATGTTTTGTTGTAGCTGTTCAGTGGGTTTTATTTCTGTATTTGTTACCATTTTTTAAGTCCCTAAAATAGTTTAAATGTGATATTTTTGGTACAGTAATTAAGCAGCATATGCTCATTGCCAGTATTCAATTTACAGCTTTAAAAAATATTAAAATAATTTAATTCAAATTCTATTGAGTTTCCTGAACCTGCCCCTGCAAGTAATCCTATAAGGTAAAGGCAATCAACCAGCATGACAACATTATGTGAAAATAGAGCCCTCATCCTGGAGGGTGTCTTCATTACATGCATGTTTTTAATATTCAGACTTAGGCATTCCTATCTGGTAAGCTGAAAAATATTTTAAATTTCTAAACTTCCCATTTTTATTCAGGTAAAACTTCCATAATTTCCAGTTCTGAGCTTCTGTATCAAACTAAGCTACTCAGATTTCATATGAACTACTATACAAGAGTGCCTGTCAGTAAACTGAATCAATTCTGAGCTGAAGTCATCTCACTAAAAAAATCTATTCATGGTGACTTAAAAATTTGCAACCCCTTCCTACTAGGTACAAAAAGAGACCTGTCTATTTAAATAGATTTCCTTAACTTTAGATAAAATTTAGAAGGCAATTTTAATGAATAAGAAGTAGTTTCACAATTGGGTGCATAAATTCAAATCTACACTGCAGTTCCATCACTTTCAGGTGGTACTCCTGTGACCAAGTAAATAACATAAACTTGTGAGTACGTGAAAGGAAAGTAACAGGGAGCAAAAATCAGATTTTGCAATGTGTCTTTTAAATTTTGTTGTTGAGAGAAGCACTTGAAATAGTTAAAAATGAAAAGACATTTCAAGCACTTGGAAGCCTTCTTTACATTGAGAATAACTTCTTTCAGAAGATTTATGCATCTATTGAAGAGATGAAACGTATCTAAATCCTTTGCAACCAAAACCCACTGAAGCACAAAGCACTGCTGTATAGATGAAATGTCCCTTATGAAGGCAGACTTGTGGCTCCAGGAGGACAGTTTTGTTGCTACAGGTACAAAAAGTATTTCTTCTGCGAGCAGTCTGTGCTGTCTTGACTAATGATTGATTTTAATGTCTAGTGATAAAAACTTGCATTTTTAAGCATGAAAATCCCCCAAAATACAGTTGGCAAATACTAACAGTTCAATAATGGAGTCTACTGTCCTGTTTCATTTTCAGAGTGGTCCTGGAAGAACACCATTCATAAAATCAGCAATTTAAGGGCCTGCATGCCACAAGCCTTGATGGTGGAAAGGATGTGTCTGAGGTGGGAGGAAAAGGCATCCTGTGGTCCCTACTAAAGGTATTTGTTTCACTCTCACTTTTATGTATTTTTTTTTCCCCCACATCTTCTTACTGAAGGGAGTAGTGTTTTGACTGAGGAAAATGTGATGTCCACATTGAATGCCACCTATGCCAGGTGTTGTATAACTTTATTCAAGACTAGTGGTGCATGGAAAAACAACTGACAGGTACCTATTATCCTGTTACAGAAAAGAATTAAATGAAGTTTAAGTAAACACACAAAAGAGTCCCTGACTTCAGAAGACTTGACATTGATGAAACAGGCCTGATATTTTCTGCCCACCATTCTTGTATAGGGGGAAGATAATAGATTCAGGTTATAGTCTTTAATTGCTGATAACATGGCAGATAGAAAATTATGGAGAAATTATTTCTAAATAGGTCCATGCTGCTTTTACTTTAAGTCTCCTTACTGGTGGTGTCTTGTCTTGTTTTGCTCCTTGCATGTAAATCTCATTCATCTAAAGGTTAATATTTAAGGTCAAAATCACCAAGTTGCAGAAGTTGCAATTCACTGCATTGAATTCAATTCAGTGAAGTGTTTCCCATAAGTATTTGTATCAAATGCTGCCTTTGTCCCTTGTGTTTGAGATGATGTCAAATTGGAGTCATTAAACAGGATTACAATTTAATTACTCCTACTTTTGAAAAGTGGACAAATATGACACGGTTTGATTTCATATTTACTGCCATGTACACATTTTTTATTGTCTGCACTTGTTTTGTTTTCTTTTAAAGTCATCTCAGTCCAAACCATAAAAAAACTAACAGAAGTGGTATAACCTGGAAATTGGGATAAACTCTTAACAGAAATGATATCTCTCAACACCTCATATGATAGAGCTCTTCAGGTGTTACCAACAGGTGCTTTTCTCAGAAATCAAGATCACTGTTCAGATAAACTTTTTCTACTCAGTCCGTTGCTGAAGAATGCAGGTGGTGTTGTTCACCCATCAATGGGCAATAGAGGGGCTCCTCGGCCTGTCAGAGTCGTTTGTCCATCTCTCCCCGAATCCACTTCTCTCTTTATTAATCAGAAGAAAAGTTTTTGATGACTTTACTCTCTATAACTAGTAGAGGCAGAAAAAAGTTAACTGTTTCAGGAAGAAGTTTCTCAATCCCTGAGAGTGAGTGCAGCTATCACATATTTCTATGCAATGCTATATTTCATATATTCCAAACGTTCTTTGTCTTTTTTTTTTTTGTGTCTTCATCTGTTTAGTATGACAGAGAAACCACTTATATTCTCATGTCACAGAATCACAGAGTGGGTCAGGTTGGAAGGGACCCCAGCTGGTCATCTGGTCCAACCTCCCTGCTCAAGCAGGGTCATCCCGGAGCACATGGCACAGGATTGTGTCCAGATAGTTCTGGACAGTGAGGGAGACTCCACAATCTCTCTGGATGATCTGTACCAGTGCTCAGTCACTACACAGCAAAGAAGTTCTTCCTCATGTTCCAGTGGAACTTCCTGGGCATCAGTTTCTGCCCGTTGCCTCTTGTCCCATTGCTCAGCACTACTGAGCAGAGCCTGGGCCATGCCCTGGCATCTCCCTGAAGACACTGACAGACCTTGGTGAGGTCCCCTCTCAGTCATGTCTTCTTAAGACTGACAGGACAACTCTCTCAGCCTGTCCTTGTAGGAAAGATGCTCCAGTCCCTTAATATAGAAATATAGAATAACAGAAAAATAAGGAGAGTTGCTTTTAAACCTCAAGATAATGATTTTGTTCCTGTATGTTTAGGAGCTTTTTTGAATATGGTCATGTTAACATCATTAGGATCACATGAGATGTAATGTTATTCAGCATGAGAAAGGATATGGGAAACCAGGCTGTAGTGTGAGTAACATGATTCAGAATTTCAGATTGTAGTGTTTACATCTCAGATCCTCCACTGAGCCTTCAGGTAGTTTGGTAATTGATTCAAAATCAGTAAAGATTCTACTTCAAAGAGCTGAAAGGGAAAAGAGAGTGCTAAAGCAGGAGGGAATAGAATTATGCAAGGTGACCTATTGAAAATTATATTCGAAATGCAGAAAATATCATCCATAATTTTTTAACTGTGTTCAGAGTAGGCAATTTAGATAACTAAGTGCATATAATTTCATAGGCAGTTATTTCATTTCTATCTCTATAATAGAAAAATGTTTTCCTTCAAGTTGAAGTTTAACGGTAGAAGAGCATATCCTTGTCTTCTTAACTCTGAAAAAATAAAATATATTTTCCAGATTTTGAATGTAAAGAGTATAAAAACTGTAGCAGGATGCAATAGGAATGCAAAACCATACCAAACCAAAACCTATCAAGTAAAACAAAAATCACCAAGCAAAACAAAACTCACCATTAAAGAGGGTAACTTCTTTATAGGTTAATTTTATTATCCAAACTCTGAGTTTACTTACATGCATCAATTTCATATTATATATTTGTAATAAAGAAGCGAAAAAACAAAACTGCAACACACTGAATGTTCCGCTCATTATTCTGATTCAAATCACACTTTAAGTATTTAATAAATGTTGCAAGAGAAATAAAACCACACAATATACAACTTCTTATTCATTATAAATTCTACCTTTTAATGGTAACTGGAAAGACTGTAAGCCTAGAAAAGAAATTCTACTTTTTATCTTGTGCATTTAGAAGATATGAGTCATCACTATTCCTTTTTCACTTTACAAGGTCAATTTGCCTTCTCCCTTATGTGCAAGAGTAGGCAGACTTCCTGAGAAGCAAAACAACACCAGAAAGATGCAATTATAAAACCATAAATAGTAGCATAACAAAAATAATATTTCAGATATAAACTCCAAGTTAATCTAAAAGCAGAATGACTTAGATTCAAAATCAATTAAGTCCATTTATTTTCTGACATTTTGATTTAAATTAAAATTTTTGTAATTTGAATATTCTATCCATTTAAAAGAGCTGTCTGCTTGCTTGCTCTGTGTTTAGCAAAATGTGTGCATGTTTTTGCTTGTGTTGCTCAAGGCAACAGCATCTGGCACTAAAACTTTTCCTTTGGTAGTACTGGTCAGATGTTAATGCCCCACAAAAAAATTAATAATCTCTTTAGTTTATATGAGAGTTAGATGCATTATATAATCTAAGGGTAAAAGTGGACTGTGCACTAGTACTGTGTGATAGTTTCTGTGTAATAGCAAGTCCAGGTACTTCTCTTTTTTTATAAAATCTGTGACAGAAGGATCCAACTTCTCTTCCAGCTAGCTGAGAAGAAGTCTATGGGATCTGTGGAGGGAGTTGAACAAAATTAATATATTTTGCAAGTCAGGTCTTCAGTAACATTCTTAGTCATCTGTGTGCTCTGGGAGAACCTTTATTCCTTGACAGATACATGGCTTATCTGGTGCCTTATTGCTACCGAGAATCCCTGTCACAGCTGAGCTGATCTCTTGTGAAAAGAATATATGATATTACATTTTGTTATTTCTTTTTTTGTTTTTTTTTTTTTTTTTTTTTTTTTTTTTGTTACACTGTTCTCTGGGTAATACCACATTCAGGAGGTATGGAATGTCAGAAAAGACAGAAAATACTGGATCGCCTGAAAATATATTAAAAATTAGGCTAATGATGCTGATTTATAAGTGAAGGTAGAGAAGACCAACAAAATTAAATACAACTTGTTACAAAAGTTATGGGCTTGTCTCATGTTTTCATGAAGGAATAGTGAACCACAGTGGAATAAGAAAATGGCAGTAAATCAAGAACTGCAGTTTATTCCTGTGCCAGTAAGTCATTGTGTACTTTTGGGGGAAAACACGTACAGTTATAATTTTGAAAAGTAACTATTTCTTTCTGGAGGAGCTGTGAATCCCTGAGAACCTCTGAAAAACCTTACCATTGACTCAGCCTGAGACTCCAACTTGGGTATTACACAAACAGCCCACACACCCACTTCCCACTGCAGCGCCAAGGACCCTGGTGTTTGTTTCCAAACCAACATTTTTGGTGGTTTCATTCGGTGAGTCAGGGCTGTACTCAGTCAAGGCTTTACACACGAGTGAAGAACTGGTGGTGATGTGACTCATTCAGTGAAGTTTGGATGCAGTTCCCTAATTTTGAAGGAAAGACTTAGGAGGTCAAGATTGCTGCATTAAGAGCTGCTGGTACTTCTGCAAGAATGCTGCAGCTGCAACCTCAGTGGGATTATTTGAATAAATGTACAAGCCTGAGGGCAACATCCCTTTAGATGCCATTTAGGAGAGAACTTGAACTACTACTTGTTCAATGGCAAGTACTTGACTCATGGTCAGTGCTGCTTTTACACAAACAGCTCAGAAATCTGCTTTGTGCTTTTTTTTTTGTGCTTTTCCCTTTTCTTAACTGGGATGTTAAGAAATGCTTAAAAAATGATTTTTTAATTCTACTGAAATGTCGTATAATGATATTCAGTCATTACTAGAGAAGCTGGATTGCTTTCCTTGCATTTAAATTTGCAGTTATAAGTGCAGAAGCATGGCAACAAGATAATGGAATTTTTTAAAACTTTGAAAAGAAATTAAACTGTCAGCTTAGACATTCCAGCAACGATCACTGCAGTACTGTAGAAATTAAAAGCACATCATTACTTACGAAAGTGTAGAACATCATTGCAAACTTCAATTTTTCTTCTTCCAAAAGAGATGGCAAACAAAATGGTTGATCGCCTATTTTTCATGCAGTCTAGCAGAAATATTGCAATTATGTATTTGGGAGCCTCTTGTCCTATGACATACACTTTAATTCAAGTAATTGTTACTATTACCAGTTTTGAAGTAATGGGAACGAGATTGCTGTTAGTGGCAGAAATAATGAATAATATAAGCAGGAGTGATTTAACTAATATTTCTTTTCTTTTTCTTTGTTTAGTTTTTTTTTCTAAAGAGTGATATCCTTTCTGTCTTACATAAACCCAGAATATAAATCTTTGCAGAGAAACATCATTGATCTAGCAGGAAAGACAGTTCTTAATGGGAATTTCATTTTCTTTCCAGGA